CAATAGTAAAAGGACGAAAATGCCCTTGAATTTTTCTATCCATTACCGTTTTGCTACCTGCTTCACACAATAAAATACCTGTGGTGCTCATGATTGCCACGTGTTGATCATCCTTTGTCCTTTCAGGTTGCGTGTCTATGATCGTTGAGTTGTGGCACAAAGAAAGATAAAATAATTAATTAAAAACTGACAAAAAATTATTTAAAAAATATGACTTAAATCAGGCCACATGGTTTGTGGCGCACAACAAATAAAAAGTTATAAGAACATTGAATGCATGGACAAAATAATTATTAAAAATTGTGAGAAACCCACCTGTCCCCATTGCTTTGCCTTTCGATTATTTTATTTTTTGATTTTGCTCGACTTTTTGTCTTCCACTCCGAGTCTCCTGCAGTAGGTGGCACGGAACACGGTTTGTCGCATAGAACACAATAAAATAATATAAAAACATTTGAATGCAGAGTGTGGGCACAAAGAAAGATAAAATAATAATAAAAAAACTGACAACAAATATTTAAAAATATGAGTTAATCCAGGTTTGTGGCACATAACACAATAAAAAAATTATAAAAAATTTTGAATACATGGAAACCAAATATTAAAAATTGTGAGAAGCCCCGCTGGCTTCGACCTTGCCTTTGGCTATTTTATTTTTTGGTTTTGTTCTGCTTTTTGCAAAGCCACACAACAGCACTAGAAACAATGATTAGGTTAGTATGCTTTCAAGTTGTTATATCTTTTCCTCCATTACGATTTAAAAGTGATACTAAATCCTATCTAAATATGTTATGTTCTATTCCTCTTTGTTCAGGTTGCTTTATCAATGACAACAAGGGCTGAAGACACCTTTCACTACTTTGATCAAGAATGTTTACCGTGTTTTGTTTATCTATATTAAATCATGTTTAACAACCTCTACATATCTTTTTTTGCCCAAAACTCAACAATATTTTTTGCATCTCCTCATTTTTTGTATGCAAAAGCTGGAACACAATATATTAGATGCGGTTATTAGAAGAAATTCAATTATTGCAATGTTTTTTTGTATCTTTATACCAGGAATTTCTATTTTTTGTAACTGAATGTAATTCTCCTGGTCTAAAAATACATACAACTGCTACAATATAATGGATAACTATAATTTGTATCTTTATATTATCTAAATTTAACCTTTTCCAGTTAACGCTTTTCCAAATTCATTGTTGTTATCGTTGTTCCTATTTTTTAACCGAAATTTTTTCATTTTTAACATCTTATCTTAACTTCAAACCTGCAGCAACGCGCGAGTATTAAGCACTAGTTATATATATTAAAACTCAATTGAGTTTTATCACTGTTCAGTAATAGTAAAAGGGCGGAAATGCCCTTGATTTTTTTGGTCCATTACCCTTTTGCTGCCTGCTTCACACAATAAAATACCTGTCTTGCCCATGATTGCCACGTGTTGATCATCCTTTGTCCTCCCAGATTGAGTGTCTATGATCGTCGAGTTGTGGCACAAAGAAAGATAAAATAATTAATTAAAAAACTGACAAAAAATTATTTAAAAAATATGACTTAAATCAGGCTACATGGTTTGTGTCGCATAACACATAAAAAAATTATAAAAACATTGAATGCATGGACAAAATAATTATTAAAAATTGTGAGAAGCCCCATTGCTTTGTCTTTTTTTTATATTATTTTTTAATTTTGCTTGGCTTTTTGTCTTCCACTCCGAGTCTCCTGCAGTAGGTGGCACATAACGGAGGTGGATTGTCTGCCCATCCATTTCCAAACTTTTCTCATGCCCTCCTGTTTATGTAGTCACGGTTAAGCCACATCAACATTTTATATTCCTATTACTTTTTATTTTATTATTTCTATAAAAAAATTAATGTAACTTAACCGTAATCACACATCACAAGAGGACATGAGAAGAGTACAGAAATGGGAGGGTAGACAATCCACCTCCGCACGGAACATGGTTTGTATCCCTAAAATATTATAAAAACATTTGAATGCAGAGTCTCCAGCAGAGTGTGGGCACAAAGAAAGATAAAATAATAATAAAAAACTGACAACAAATATTTAAAAAAATGAGTTGATCCAGGTTTATGGCACATAACACAATAACAAATTATAAAAAAATTTGAATGCATGGAAACCAAATATTAAAAATTGTGAGAAGCCCCGCTGTCTTCTACCTTGCCTTTGGTTATTTTATTTTTTGGTTTTGCTCTGCTTTTTGTCTTCCACGTGTTGATCATCGGGGGATTTTCTGCTGAGAGGGTTTCTCCCTTTGTCTTTCATTTTTAACTCTTTCTTTCCTGATCAATTTTTCCTTTGCTTTTTCTGCTCTTTCTTTCGCGTTTTAGCAAATGGTGCTTCGTCTTTTTTTCGTGTGTGTCGTCATTGTTATTATGGGTGCATGATTTGGTTATGTTTTGTATTTTCAGGAAATGGTGTTGTTCGTTTTTCCCAGGTGTTGTATTGCCATTTTCGTGCTGGTTCTACTTCAAATATGTCGTTCTTGTTTTCTTCTTTTTTTCTTTTTTTTTTCCACTTATTTTTTTTATTTTATGTTCTTGGGTAAATTTGGTGTTTAATTTAGAGCACAGAAAATAGGAAATAATTGTTAAAAAATTCTATTTTTGGATGAATTTGATGTTTAAATTAGAGTAGAGAAAATAGAAAATAATAAATAAAGAACAAATGAGAAGTTAAAAAATTTCTGCTTTGTTTGACCAAGGTAAATGAAAAATATAGCTCCAACTCCTATCGATAAATTACAACCGTATATAAAGTTAGCGAAGTTAAGAGTCTGAATTTGCAGGATATGAAATCTATCGATTCCTGGAGCTGCTCAAACATAAGCAAAACAAGTGACTTAAAATAAGTGACTTTTTCTTTGTTCTTTATTGTGACCGAACTGAGTTTTAGTATATGTATAATTTATCATTGTACATTTTATTTTAATTTTTCTGTGATGACAAACAATAAAATTTTTTTTACCTTCTTAACTTTTTAAACCCATGTATATCTGATGGAAAGACAAAAAAAATATTTAAAAAATGTGATTAAAACCGGGCCACATGATTTGTGGCACAACAAACAATAAAAATTTATACCTGTCCACGTGTCAGTCATCGCCACAAGGTAGTATCTCTACTTTTGTTCTTCTTTCTTCCGTTTTCTTTTCAATTTTTCTTTGCTTCTCCCTCTTTTGGCAGTCGTTTGCTTTCTTTTGAATTTTTTGTATGCAAAAGCTAGAACACAATATATTAGATGGGGTTGTTAGAAGAAATTCAGTTATTATAATGTTTTTTTGTATCTTTATAACAGGAATTTCTATTTTTTGTAATTGAATGTAATCCTCCTGGTCCAGAAATACATACAACTGCTACAATATAATGGATAACTATAATTTGTATCTTTATATTATCTAAATTTAACCTTTTCCAATTAAGGCTTTTCCAAATTCATTGTTGTTATCGTTGTTCCTATTTTGTAACCGAAATTTTTTCATTTTAACATTTTATCTTAACTTCAAACCCGCAGCAACGCGCGGGATTTAAGCACTAGTATATGCTATACAAGATTAACCAAATCAATACCATAAACAATAGTGTGACAACCCGTCCCGGACTTTTCGTACCGTAGGGGTGAAATGACGGTTTTACCCCTAGTATGTTTGTTTCGTTGTGTGGTCGTTTTTGGGTTTTGCTTGAATGGTTTTGGACCACACACACACCACACTCATTTCTCTCTCTCTCTACCCTGTCCCGAGACTCTCTCACTTTCCCTTTCCTATCCTTTTTGTACAGACAACACCCAAAACCCTTGGATTCGTCACGGATCGAGGAAACAAATTACATATTTGTGCTCGTGAGGTCCTTAGGAGTTCAACCATACCCATTTCAGGTATGGATACCTTCGTTTTCATGTCGAACTCGAGATCCCCGATTTTGGTCACTGTTCATGCACACGTTAATTCTTGTGTTTTTTGGAATTTCAAGCTTGTAGGAAGCTTGGTGAGGTTCTTAGGAGGCTCGGGGTGGTTCGTTTGAAGGTTTTGGACGTTGGGATCGTGAGTTGCAGGTTTGGCCGGAGTTGGTGGTGTTTTCCCGGTGAGATTCCGTTGGTTTTGATGCTTGAAAGTGGTATGGATTTGTTCCTCTTGTTGTAAGCTTCATTTTGGTACCAATTTTGTGAAATTTGGTTGAAGAACAAGTGAGATATGAAGTTTTGAATTTTTCCCGGTTTTCCGGCGCCGGAGTTTGGCTGGAGAAGATGACGGAATATTCCTAATGGCGTTAACGGAATCAGTTAGATTTAACGGAATATTCCTAATGGCGTTAACTGACGCCGTCAGTGTGCCAGGCACATGCTTACGCATGGGCGGCGGGTGTGGTCGTGCCTTGGCCGGTATGTGGGGGCGCGTGCGGTGTCAGAAAATTATTTTAAAAATATGGAGATGTTCGTGAGGTTGAGTAGATCACGTTGGTGTATTCATACACCCCATTTGAGTATTGTATGAGACGTTATTTTGTAATGTTGGTTATGTGCTTTAAAATTAACAAAAGCAATAGTAAACGAAAAAGAAGCATTAAGACCTTTAAACTAAGCAAAACCCTCTTGCAAAACATCTATAATAGCCAAATTTTAAACTAAGCAAAACCCAGCCACTTGCAGAATTAGCCAAATTTTAACCCCTTTTTCCTTCTTTCTACTTCTGTTGGTCACTATAATAGCAGTTGGCCTACAAAATGCCAAAAAATCAGGAAAACAAACAAAAATAGGTTCAAGGATAGCATCGTTGAGTCTTCGTGGACATCAAAATTAAAAATGAGAGCGGGACAATTTGAGGGAGATCTTTCACATGTAAATTTGTCAGGAACCAAAACTATACAAACAATTCACTTATTAAAGAAAAACAATGTCTCACATCAGTAATTCAAAGCTAGAATCCCATTATCGTACCCCGGTTAGCACCATTTTCACATTAATCAGAATCCTCAAAGCAAATTCTTTACGAATCAGTGAATACCAACGTCAATATGAGTTTACAGTTCATCAAGAATGCCACTTTTAATAACTAGAGCTAAAAATGTAAAGCAAACCAGTTCCGAAAAACAACAGAAAGTGTGAATGTAATTATGTAAATGTACCTCAGCCAGGTCGAGATGCAAATCGTCTTTTAAATGGAAAGTTAAAAACTGACAGCAAGCCTTGCAAGGCCTAGGACACCTTGAACAAAATACCATGGCAACAGCCACATTGTCAGGGCACAATTCGATCCCAAAAACTTTCACACTGCTCGTTCTATGCTTGGTCATGCTTGGAGAAGGCATACTTGCCTCCTTTACCCTATCAGTTATCAACACATCCCTTTCTCCTGCATCATTTTATTGAACCAAAACTAGGTGAAGCTTTAATCTTCATCACATTTAGCCAAAATCGAAATGTAAAAAAAAAAAAAAAAAAAAAACATACTTAGATGTTAAATCGAGAGACATACTAATCCTGGAATTGAGGAACGGCTGGTCATTCAAGTTGAGCCGGCGAGTGGGCGAGGCCATGGGGACGGCGACCGACATGTCGTTCTCCGGAGGAATCTTCCGGCGGGCTCTGCGTCAGTGACAAGTTCTTGTGTGGGCGTCGGGTAAAAGACGGTTGCGATTTCGAAGAAGAGGGGGAGCGGGGCTTTGGAGAGAGAAATGAGTAGTTTGGAGATTTCAGAGAAACCGCCGAAGGAAGCGAATGGGTTAGACTGGGTGGTTGGTGGTATCAGATCTGGAATAGGTATATAGATTGGGTTTATTAAGATAGAGTTGGTTCTGATAACAAATTCGAGAGTAATATTAAATAAATTAACCTACAAAATTCAGAGACCGTGATTGATTTCAAGAAGACGTGTGATTAAATTTATTTCAACATCGAGCTACCTCGTGGTCATATCAAATAACTGCAACGAGCTTTACTTGCACGTTATTATTTTAATATTTTCTATTACGGGCCAATTTGCCCATTGTTAAAACCGTTTACTCATAACAGTCTTTAAATGTCCGTGGTAATATTGGATATTCTACAACGAGTCTTTTATGTCCGTGGTGATTTAATTGTGGTAGATGTGGTGTCATCTTGTATCATATAAAATGGGCTATGAGTGCCATATAGTTGATGTTTTGAATCAAAGTCCAAGTGATGGTGGTAAGAGAGACTCTATGTGAATTGGCAGACAAGATACTCTTTATTTTGGCCTTCTGACCGTGAAACAGATTCCACACATCTCTAGATATAGTTATACGAGATGGTGGATCAAATTTAGGTTGGGTCTCTCTCATAAACCGCCTAAACCCTAACTCTTCGACATGCTTAGAAGGGAGCTCATCCAGTATGATCATCTCCACAAAGCAAGCCTACTTCTTTCCTTGCTTATGTCCATCCAACAAAGTTACCACCCTCCGCAAAATTTAAGAGTTTTTATTTTTATTTTTATCCACTTTCAATGGAGAATTCGAACAACCACCCAATCTCAGATGATTCAGCATAGTGGATATCCGATTTCTTCTCCCATGACATGCGTAATCCTTTTTACAGAGATTGCATTCAGCCCTTGCATCTCACTTGTGGATGCAAATTTATTCTTCTTGTTCTTGGACAAAATTGTACCTACAAAACAAAAAACACCTTAAGTCAAGGCCAAGAGCCTCACGTGCACATGAGGAATTGGGAGGGGGGGGGGTTTGGCCGAAGAACCTCCGATGCCAAAGTTAGAATTTGAGGGAAAAGTGTTTAGAGAAATTTGGAGAATTTTAGAAGAGAATTGGACTTAGGTTTTGGAGAAAATGAGGGTGTTTATATAGGGATGTGGCCGGCCCCTTTGCGAGGAGGAGGACCGGCCACTTGGATGGCTTTTTGGTTGAGATTCATGATTTGTTAGCTAATAAATCAATTAATTAGCTAATTAATATAATTAGAAATGAATGATTTGGAGGTTACCTTGTGGAGAAGATTTGATGAGGATGGATGAAATAGGTTTATAACAAATACCTATTTTGGTACTTTTGACTTGATTGAGGGATGATTGCCCATTGCTTACGCGTAGAAATCCCAGTGTGCCTCGAGGGTAATCGTGTCTTTTTACCCAAAAATCCACGTGTCGCTTCCATATTTTTCTTGATTATTTTTGGCTCTACATCACTCCCTTCCAATTTCAACTTGCAATTTAGTAAAATAAAACCAAACAAGGGATGCTTCCTTACAGGCTTCATATTTTCTAAAGTGGAAGAAGGAAGTGGGGGGAGTGCAGCTGTTCGCTCTGGGTTTACAACTTGTGGTGTTTCAGGAGTGGGTATGGAAGTCTGTGTAGGACTTGAACTGGAAGGGATGAAAGATGTAACACTGGAGGGAGTTTGTGAACTACCTTCCATCGTAAATAAACCTACAAATACATATTGAACTGCATATTACAAATTTTTAATACATATTGTCATATACAAGTACACATATTAACCGAATCGAGACAAATGCATATTAGTGATTAATTAAATATAGCACAAACAACTATTAATGATTAGTCAAATAACAACACTATCAACTTTTAGTGATTAATCAAATTCATTAATCATTGTCAACGAATCTAGACAACTAATCAAACAAATGGGTCCACTGTAAAAAAAAAAATTCAAAGAAATGGGTCCACTTAAAAGGAAAAAAACCACCTAAGCAGATGAAAGAATAGAAATGCATATCAAATCAAGCCCAAAAGAAGAAACAAATGGGACCACTGTAAAAAAATCACAAAACCAGATGAAAGAATAAAACGCTGGTGAAACCAAACCCAAAAGCAGAAACGAATGGGATCATTGTAAATTTTTTTTTCTAAAAGCAGGTGAAAGAATAAAAACACAGATGAAACTAAACCAAAAAGCAGAAGTCTTTTGATTATTACCTATTAAACGAAGCATGACGATCAACTTAAGGGACGGCGAAGACAAAGGTAGGGTTTCGACGATGGGTGCGATGAGTCTAAGAGTTGAGCGTGAGTGAGTGAAAGGAGAGGGGAACCTTATCTCTACTCCGATTAATTTATTTAATTTTTTTTTTGGGTCAAAAGTGATATTCATTAATTAAATACCCAAAATGGGGCGGCAACAACAACACTATCTATACTGATTAAAAGTTTAAAACAAATAAAAGCAACCATGGATCGATTCGGTTACCAATTCAAGAATTGTAGGAACCGTTCGTCAAACAAACCTTAGTCAGTGTGGATCGGTTTACTCTTCAAAAAAAAAAAAAAAAAAAAATTAAATCAAACCAAATCATCAGTGTGATTTGATTGGTTTAGTCGGTTTTTTTTTTCAATTGCCCAACCCTAGCTATCCGTGACTTTTCAAACAAGTAAAAGTCTATCAAAACTTATATAACCCATAGAATCTCGATTACAAAATGTGGGCATTTCACTTAACCAAACAAAAGCAAAATAATGTTTTAGTTATCAAAACAAGAGCACAAACATTCTGCTCGAAATGCACATGACACGTGGAGATCAACTACACTTTCCATGGCCTTCCTCATTTGGTTGGAATCTTGTACCTAAACCTATTTTCATTTCTGATGGCTGAGTAAAGTTGAGGGTGTTATGTTTTCCAACTTCTTAAGGATCATTTTATGGAACTGTATTGGGATTATTATGACATTATGAAAAGTATGTAATTATCTTGAGCCTTTTTTTAGGAGTATTATGAACATGTTTCTTATATTAATGCACTGCTTTGGAGACAATAACACCATGAGTATTTGTCAAATTATTAATTTGTTAGAGAAAATAAAAATGGTAGTACATGCTTCAAGAAAAAGACTAACTTAGCTACTTATAAAGACAATAACACCATATGTCATTTCTCATGCATAGGAATGAGAGGGAAAAATAAAATTGAGGATAAGAATTAGCGGGAAAAAATAGAGGGAAAATTTTGTTTTTTTTTTATTTATTTTCATTTTTTTTAATCATTTTTAAGAGTGAAATGACTTAACTACCCTCACATGTTGTGCATGGTCTCACTTAACAGAAATATGGATGTAATATATGAAAAACTAACAGTAGGGGCAAATCGGCTAAAAAAATTAGTTTGAGTTCTTAATTTTCCAATAGAAAAGTTCAGGGGGGAAATTGAAAGCTAGGTGTGTTACATCCCGGCTCGGGCCCCCACCACATCCCGGGCTTGACTCCATCGTAGTACAATATTGTCCGCTTTGGGCCCCTACCACATCCTCATGGTTTTGTTTCTGGGAACTCACACGAGAACTTCCCAGTGGATCATCCATCCTGAAATTGCTTTCGCGCAAACTCGCTTAACTTCAAAGTTCCAATGGAACCCGAAGCCAGTGAGCTCCGAAAAGGCCTCATGCTAGGTACATATAGGAATATACATATAATGCTTATAGGATCCCCTCTCCTGGTGATGTGGGATGTTACAATCCATCCCCCTTAGGGGCCCGACGTCCTCGTCGGCACACTCCCGGCCAGGGATTGGCTCTAATACCAAATTGTCACATCCCGACCCAGGCCCCCACCACATCTGGGGCTGGACTCCACCATAAAGCACAATATTGTCCCCTTTATGCCCCTACCATACCCTCACAGTTTTGTTTCTGGGAACTCACATGAGAACTTCCCAGTGGGTCACCTATCCTAGGATTGCTCTACCGCAAACTCGCTTAACTTCAAAGTTCCAATGGAACCCGAAGCCAGTGAGCTCCCAAAAGGCCTCGTGCTAGATAGAGATGAGAATATACATATAAGGCTCACAAGATCCACTCTCCTGGACGATGTGGGATGTTACAAGATAAAAGTTCAGGGGATAAATCGACAATTTACTCCTTATCAAATAATCACCAATAGCCTAGCCCACACAGGCAATTCCATCATCATATACATGCTTCCACCCACGTGCCTTTTTCTAATCCTGCTTCCTGTTCCAACTAAAACTTCTCTTTTTCCACCATGTTGGTCTAGATGCAGCAATGCATGCATAATAAATTCCAATTTAAGAACAAATTTGAAGTAACTTACATGTAACAAATTTACTATCATCAATTGCTAATAAAATGTCATATTTTTAATATTGCTCGAACAAAAAAGATTCCCACACAAGTTACACACCCAAATTATATGTGTATGTATATAATAAATGTTTACAATTCAAATTTAATAAAAATATCAAAAATATAATTATAGGCAATAATATAATTTTCCACAAAAGTTTTTTTTTATTTTTTATTTCCTTTCCCTCACGCACATGTAACTATAGTTTTACCTGTATACGGAAATTACTATTCTCTTCACCCTAGTATTTTTCTTAGCCGTCAGATGCAGTACCTATAATCCAACCATTCATTCATTTAATGATCATAAAAAGCAACATTGTAACAATAAACAATAGAAAAAAGATTGGATTTTAGAGTACTGTGTAGCGACTTCTCTTTTAGTTTGACTTAACCATACTAGTTGTAGTTGCTCTGTACAAAGAAGATTTTCAAAATTAATGTTGATCAAATTTTATCTTCAATCAATTATGTCACAAGAATGATTAATGGGTTAGCAATCTTATGAATTGAAAAAATTTTGGTTGAAAAATTAGATTTTGAAAACTTAATTAGTACATTTACGTCTAAAAACGCGAGACATGTAATCTTTGTACATTTTTCTTCTTTTGATATTTATTTTTAGTGATATTTAATGTAGAAATAGACTTTTTCATGTACTTAGCAAATTTCTTTTATATACATATTAATGCTCTAAGAGTTGGAAGTCAGAAAACTCGAGGATCTCACTTCGAAGTCTCTCCTAGGGCCCTAAAATTCTCAAGACCGGCCTTGCTTCTCCTATCCCCAGTGCTACATTTTGTCCCCAGTTTCTACAAGCATCTTTCTCGTCACTTTCCCTATTCTTCTTAATGCAAAACCTTCTAAGTTTCCTTCTGGTTTATACCAAACATGAGGCAATATCATCAAGTACCACCAAGCGGAAGGCTGACTATCGATGGTGAATATTTGGTCGATACAACAAATTTGAACGATTTTGTAGGAAAAATTGTTTTTAAGGATGTCGTTTTGCAGGAAAAAGATGGAGAAAATAAAGGAGATAATGGTGGGCGGAACCTTAGAGGAAGAAAGGGAAAGAATTCTCCGGAGAGATGTTGAGTGTTCTAGATACTTTAGAAAAAAAATGCTTGAATTAATAATAGGAAATTATTAAATGTGTATTGAATAAAATAATATTATAGTTGTTAATTATTTTGGTTTTTAGTTTGATACTGTATCAAACGCTTTACTAAGTTAGTCTAACTTAGTCTATTCTAAGCCAGTTCAACTTAGTCCTTGAGTCTAGTCTAGTCTATGATAGTCTGATGTAACAAATGAACCCCTATTGTCTTAAGCATTTTCATTTACTTCTTCAGCAACCTTGTACCAAATTTTAGTTCATTCCCTTGTCTGTTGCTCCGCTACCAGTTTTCTATAGTATCGATTCTTAGTAAGAAGTTACTTTTGAAAGCTTTTCATTTCAGTATTTATTTAGTCCAAGAGTTACTTAGAAACCTTCACAGGGATAAGGGGTCTCCTAGGTGTGCTCTCAAAGTTGATCTTATGAAAGCATATGATATGGTTGAATGGGACTTCATCCTTAGCTTCTTGGTGGCTTTCAACTTCCCTCCTGTCATGATCAATTGGATCCATTGCTATATCCCATCCCCCAAATTCTCCATTTTTGTGAATGGTAAATTGACGGGATTCTTTACTAGTAAGAGAGGCTTGAGACAAAGGGATCATTTGTCCCCTTACCTTTTCGTTGTTGCTAGGTGCTTTCTTTATTAATTACCTCTAATATAAATGCTGGCCCTTTTTTAGATACCATTGGCGCTATTAGGTAGTCCCGTTTGCTCATATTTGTTTTGCTGATGACCTCTTTATATTTTGTGGAGGGGATTATCATTCAGCTAAGATCTTGAAGGACTCTTTATGCAGCTTTAATTCTTTGTCTGATCTTAAGGCCAACCCAACTAAAAGCTCAATTTTTCTTGCGGGTGTGGATGAAGATGAGCATTCTAGAATTATGCTTCCTTTCAATTTTGCCGTAGGAAAGTTGCCTATTCGCTACCTTGGTGTGCCTCTCATTTCAACAAAGCTTAATTTGCAAGATTGTTTCATTCTTATCGAGCGCGTTGAGGCTAGAATTAGAGTTTGGGAGAACAAGGTCCTCTCTTTTGCCAATCATTTACAACTTGTTCAATCTGTTCTTTGTAGTAAGCAAGTTTTTTGGGCCTCACGCCTTATGCTTCATAAGAAAATTCTCTGCAATATTGAGCAAAGGGTCCGAAAATGCTTATGGTCTAGTAAGCTTTCTAGTCATCGTGTTGCTAAAGTTGCTTGGGATGATGTGTGTTCCTAAATCTGAAGGAGGTCTTGGGATTAAAAAATTAATTGACTGGAATAAAGTGCTTATGGTTAGACACATCTGGAACTTGCTCATCAATGAAGACAATATTTGGTCTGTCTGGGCTAGAATCTATCTTTTGAGAAATATGAACTTTTGGCAGATTAAGATCCCTTAAAATTGCTCGTGGAATTGAAGGAAGGATCTTCGATTGAGAGATTTTGTTCGGCTTTTCCTTTTCCACAAAATTGGAGATGGTAGGGGAACATCTCTTTGGTATGATAATTGGCATCCTTTAGGTCCTCTTGTTGTCAATTGAGGTTGGCATATCATTGTAAATTCCAAGCTTCCAAAACTGCTTTGGTTTGCAATATTTAGAATGGTTCTAATTGGTGCTGGGCTGATAATTCTTCTCATGAGTTGTTGGAAATTCAAATTTTGATGTCTAATAGTGTGCCAAATTGTAGCTTGGGTTATATGATTCGATGGACACCTTCATCGTCTAGCATCTATTCTGCTACTTCTGCTTAGGATAAGTTTCGTCAATACAAGCCTATGGTAGGATGGTCTAATCTTGTTTGGTATAATCAAAATATTCCCATTATGAGCTTCATTATTTGGTTGGCATAGAATTTTGACTTTTGCTCTGTCAGTTCTTGTCACTTCCGTACTTTGCTCTATTTCTACGGAGTCCCATTGCCACTTCTTCTTTGAGTGTCCTTTTACTGATGGTATTTGGTCTTCAGTGCTATTCAAGTGCAGTGTCCCTTGGCCTTTTTTTTGTCATGTGGGCTACTAGTCGCTGTAAGGGAAAATCTCTATCATCGATAGTTTTGAAGTTAAGTCTTGCTGCTACTGTGTATTAGTTTGGAGGGAACGGAACAACCGTAGATTCAAGAACTTATGTCAACCTGTTGGGTGGTTCTCAACTCAATTAAGTCCACCATTAGACTTCGATTGAGTTCTTTGACAATTGCCCATTCTGCTGCTAATGACTCTACTTTACGGGAATGAAATATAACTATGAATAGTTGGTGCTTATTTTTGCTGCTTTGCTGCTTTGATGTAGCATGGTTAGCTTTGTTGTCTGTTTTCTTATAGCTGCAGCTCTTTGTTGCGTGTTTGTATTTTCAGCTACTCGTTTTTGCTTGTATTCTCTTTTTCTCATCAATATATTTTATTTATCAAAAAAATTAAATAAAAAATAAGTTAGCCGACAACACCAGTTGTCATTTCCCTTGGAGAAAGTTATTTTTTTAATATTATGCAACAATGGCACGCCTAGTATCACAAACAACCTTTCTAAGGGTCGTCGACCTCTCTAAGGCCTTTCCTTTACTCTTATGGGCATTTCCTACCCAACAAGAGATTTATATTGAGGAATTATTTCCTACCCAACAGTGGCATTGCTTTGGCCATCTTAATTTTGCAGTAAGTACTTTAGTGAAGCGTAGAGAACCTTCAAATAGTTATGGGCTTGCCCTTGTGGTTCCTATTGCATGTATTTGCAGAATTGATGGATGGGTATGCTTCGGAGAAGGATGATACTACACAGTATTTCTTGACCTATCTATAGTAAATTTAAAATTACTATATGAACAAGTCCTCATGCATTGTTTTTTTCAAGAGGATCCTCATGCGATCTTTCGATCGTTAATGTTGTATAAGGTTATAAATCATACCAGCGAATAATGTTACCTGACGTATGTACATCATATATCTCCTACAAGAAGCCATTTATTTTTCGTATACATCGTCTTTTACACTAAAGGGTGGGAGATTCAGGCTAAATCTCACAATGAGTCAACAAAATAAATTAGTACAAACAAACTATTTACAAGAGTCTAACCTAACAAACAAACTATTTACAACAGTCTAACCTAATACTTCTCATTTGCAAGTGAAGAGAAATATCATTAGATTATAGTACTAATGTAAGAAGTACATATAGTTTTCTTGACATCCAGCAGCTAGCTGAAGCAAAACACAACACTAGTAAACTATGAAAAGATCAATACGCATCAACGAAAATAAGGTAATAAACTGTTAAGGGTATAGCTATGCAATGTATAATCTTAACCAAAAATCGAATTTCGCCTAGCATATTTAGATTCTTAGTTGCTTAAGTACCCAAGATCAGATCCCCATCATATTACCAATGCGGGATTAAGATATAATATTGCAACCTATAAGTCGACCACCATGCCAAAATGATCATCTGATCTTGTTAAATTTTATATATGTTACATTATCAAACTGCGAAATACATTTAAAATAAGATTGACTTCCAAGCAAACAGCCCCTTCCCTGAAATGATGCAAGTTCCCCTACAAAATGGTGCAAGTACTCTATGGTGGCGGAGTTGAATATCAGAGTGCGCAATATACAAGACTACAAAATAATAAGATATTATTAAATAAACAAGAATGCTGAAACGACTGCAAAACTCCAAAAGACTATATTAATTGTGATTAACTTATTATTCATACTAAACTATAAGCTAAATTTATAGAGAGCAAAAACCTCGAAACTCTAGTTTGGATGAGCTAGGCCTATATACTAAACTACCAAGCAAACTCAAATAATCATAAAATACTAATATTTTCCATTCGGGTCTTTGATGAAGAATTCCAACTGATGTGGATGGTGAGATAAGTTTTTTTCTCCTGTTAAGTGTAGTAACATATGCATGTTCGGTTTTCTTTTTCTCGTTCAGGTTCACTTTTTTACTGAGGTTTCTTTTCGGTTATTTCTTCTACCCTCAGCAGGTCTGCATAGCCAAGCTTCTTCCTCAATGACTTGGCCAGCCCCGCTGCATCAACTCTGTCCCCAGTAATCACCATTTGATCTCTATTTGTCCCCTTAAAAGCCACTGATATTACACCTGCGCGATTATATAAATTGAAAAACATTTTATCATTCAAATACTTAAACAAATTTGATTAAATAGCTTAAAATATTTTTCTTTCGTTTTGTACTTTGTTGATCAAATTAACATGAACACCTGTACTTTAAAGAGTACGAAACAAACCGTCTTCTGAAACAGCTATTTCCATGGCCTTGGACCGACATTTTTCGCATCTAAACTGCGCCTCAATGGTTATGGTTTGCTGCAGTATATCATGCAACCAACCAAACAAACATGTCGTGGTCAAGTTATGAATATCAACCGTATGGACTAAATTTGTAAATTTTCTAGGGTTATTAGAACAGAAAACCTTTCAAAAAGAAATGAAGAAAGAGTTGATTTTTTTCCAAGAAAATCATACTAGCTGTAGCTATAACGTAAAAACAAAAATTGTATGGTTTGGTAGTAGTGTATTTACGTACCTTCATATTCTCCACTAGTATTAGTACTGAACAAAACCAAATTTTGGGTTTTCCAAGAAGTTCTAACCGTATGGATGGATGTTCTAATTCTGTAAGAATGCGAGTGAAGAGAAAACTGATGACCTATAGGGTTTTATTATAACGTCCACCGTTCTAGAATGGTGCACGTGTTCTCATCCGATGAAAATCACCTTGGCGAACACAGTGCAATCCGCGTTTGGTGGATTGAACGTACACTGGTGAACTTTCAAACTATGATACACGGTTTTGCTTACTCCTTTTCTAGCCTTCATCAGTGAACGTAATTTGTGACGCATGGTATCGCATTGAGCGGCAACAAGAGCTGGGCTTGTCCACGTTTGATTTTACTTTTGTTTTTAAACAAAAAAACAAAAATTATTATGATTAAAGGAAGAGGGCTAGAGTTCGAAATTATTATGATAATTTAGGAAGAGGAGAAATTCAAACCCGAAATGCATGAGTAGAAACTAAATATCGTAGTCACTAAGATATTAGACTACATGCAATACATATGATTATACTAATTTCCTAGCATGTGATGCATTTTTCGAGTATTTTAGCTATACCCTTTGTAGGATAGTTGTGCTGACTTGTTACAATTGACTTTAGAATTCGTGTTTCGGGCTCACTTACTAATCTATTTTAATGATCTGGAAAAATCCAAGCATCTGGTATATGGGCAAAAAACGTTGATCGACAATACAAGCATTGAAGGATTCAGCTACGTTTGAACACATTTCGCCATACTTTGGGCCTGGAAAATGAGCGGCTGCCCAATTTTCTTTTGGAAGAGTTTTCAAGAAGTCCCTCATTACAGCACCACCTTCCTCCATTAACGTCCTCATATGCATTTCGTATGCATCCTCGGTAGGAGCATATGCACATTCCCAAGAAGCTGAATGATCCAGTCGCGATACGACTTACCCAGGGAGGATGGGTACTTAAGAAGTATGTTTTGCTTCAAGTGGTGGTAACAAAATGCATGCGGTGATTGTGGAAAAACTGATGCCACTGCTTCGATCAACCCCTTTTGTCTATCAGATATGAATGTAATGGTTCTTCCTAGAGGAGTGACGATTTTTGACAAGCTTTCGAGGAACCAAGACCAGTTGTCTTCACTTTCAGAGTTAACAACCGCAAAGGCTAAAAAGATATATACCTGTTTCATATAAGACTGTATGTTATAAATATAGTAGTATTGTGAACTGGAAAACCTGATAGCAATTTGTAAAAAAATTAGGCAGAAAATATAAATTGACACCAATAAAATTTATATATAGCAGTGGAAAATCTTCCAACAAAATGACCTAGTTTATATACTGATGAATATATACAGTATGTAAACACACAATTTATAGGGACTATGTGCTCCATATATATGTAAGACATGATTGGACAAATGTATTAAGAAAATAGAATAAAACATAAATATATCATATTTGGATATAAGTACCTTGGTTTCCATTTTTCCCAGTAACAGCAAGTGACCTTGTATTTGTTCTTGATAAATGTTCCATCAGGAAACAACATAGGCCTGGAAATATAAGGGTAGGTAAATTAAGAGTTGCCACATATGCAATTCATGGAAAACAAGAAATGATGTAAAAAAAATACGAAGAACCAAAATTTAACTACAAAACGCAAATCCCTCTCTATGCAACCATGGAAAGATACGAATATCCTTTTAAATCGGGAAGATTCCGCATCGCACTCCAACACACAATGTGACCAGGATTTGAATTTTCAATTTCTTTGACGTACGAAGCCAAGTGATTGTATGACAACGATTCGTCACCATGCATCATTTTTTTGGCTGATTCCTTCTTGTACCACACATTATAGTAGGAAATATCCAATCCATAATATTTCTTAAAATCCTTTATGATCTCAGTTGGCTTCAACATTGGCTTGAAAGAAGCTTGGTCCATGAGAACGGATGACACCACTTTGGATGACATCATGCCACACTTCTAATCACGAATCAAACTGCTGCAAGTGTGTGTATTGTTCAATGTACAAATCTAAAAGAAAAAAACCCCATTGGTGTGACACAAAGTGGCGTGCACTTGCCACATACAGCCTTCAGACAGTTTTTTAGAACACTCAGTTGTCACTCTCTCCTTTTCATTTTTTAAAAAAGCTATGCTAAACCCCTTCTCAATGGAATACCTACGGAGTTTGTCTCTAAATTCAAAGACCCCACCCCCCAACCCCACCCCCAATAAACCTTTGACCAACCCGATTAATATAGGTTTTCCATGGGTGAGATGATAAGTTTGTGTCAGTGGTGCAACATATTTTCCAATGAAATCATTGGTGTTACTAGGTGTAGCACCATCCCAAAAGTTAAAGGAAAATCCATTCCCATTAACACCCACTATCACTTTCACATCGTGATTGACTCTCATTAGCAATAATAGTCACAGAATTTTGCTTGTCATTATAACATGACAAATGTAACACACACACATCCAAATTAGATTTTAACAAGCATGGAGGATGGTCAGAGAAAACATAAGTCATTTGGAATGCCCCAACTATGAGTTCATCAAACCGCGAACACACTTCAGAGCACAATCCCATGAAAGAGGTGTCGGCATGTATTGGAATTGCCGTTGATTTGTTTTTGAAAAAAAATATCTTCCAATAATGGCACACTCCATTTTGCACCTAATAGTAACACCAACAATGAAATATATGTCAGTTGGTGACAACAAATGTTTAAGGAATCATGGTAGGTTAATTAACAAACAATATGAAGAAACAACAAAATGAACATAGATAAAAACAAAGGGTACAAATACCTTGTTTCTTTTTTCTGCCTAATGTGTATTTTGATAACACAACCACTGAAAAACCGCACTGGACTCAAGTATAAATGATAAAAATATGGAAAAAAAAATCAAAATTGGTGCCTTTTCATATTTCAAATTTGGTAAGAAGATAAAAAATTGAAATAAAATGCCTAATTTTATGCAAATTTAAAAACATAGACAATGCATTCAGAAAGGGAATTGTTATTAGCACTCTAAAAATTTCATTTTACACTCCAAACTTTCTATATTAGGAAAGAAAAATACACTTGATGAGTATAGAATGAGATTTTTGGAGTGCCAATAATACTTCTCTTCAGAAATATGCATAAATATTCAAGTCTTACATTTATGTCAAAGCACTCCTTATATGGAGGTTGGCAACGGTAAATAAAATGTGTTCAAATTATTATGTTAGCTTTCAACATGATATATTATGAGAAAAATATGCATAAACATTCAAGATTTAATATTATGAGAAAAAATATTCAAGATTTAATATATCTGATTCTTTAATTTCTTTATTATTTAAATTGAGAAAAATATGCATAAATATTCAAGCTTTAATATAGTCATTTAAATTAGTAAAGTCATTCAATATATAAAACAATTCAAATTCGTATAGTTTTTTAGAACATTCATTCTCATATTTCATATTAATATGTAAATAGTTTAAATGCACCATTGAATTCTAGGGGCTAAAGTTATATTTTCAGTTTTTTATGTGATATGTGTGTGTGTGTGTGTGTGTGTGTGTGTGTTTTGACCTAAAATAATAGTTTGGGTCGAGGAGGGTTGATTCGGGAATTATGAAACTTGGCCCAATGGTCATCCTCTAGGCCAATGGGCTTTCAGCCCGCAAAGAGGGCTCGGACGAGTCCTACACGAGTTGAAATTGCTAAGAGATTAAGCCTTAGATAAATATGAATTATCCAGAGATCAGATTGTCTATGTAATTGGAAAAGGTGAATGAAAGAAAGGAACCCCTTCAACTCAACAAATAACTCAAAATGCTCTACATGAAAACCCTTGCTTTATGCGAAACCCTTCTCAAACCCCTAAGAAAAACACTAGATATCCTAATGCTCCCATCAACACAACTCCAGCTCGAACAAGTGAATAGCACTGTGTTGATAACTGGCTACATCTTCAGTTTGGACTAACAACATTGGAGCTGTAGAACCAAGCAATTCAACAACACCTTCAGGTTAGATCACTGAACAACACTGCAACTGGTTGGTTGGTTATCTATCCACAGTCTCGGCAGACAAAGAATTCTATATTCTTTAGTCTTAGGAGGTCATCTTATCAGCTTAGACAAAGTGAAGTGTTTCCTAACTAACTGAATATTTGACACAACGAAAGTTGAACCCATTATTACTTGTGTTTGGCAAATGGAAGAACTTGTTGTGCCTAACATAGAAACAAGAGAGGGAAAAATGGCAGGAAAAAGGAAAACCTTGGAACAATGTGCTATTAGCCTAGGGATTATCTTAACCACCTCACCTTTATGTCTCGTCACCTTTATTGTCAACTTGGGTTCCCTCCAAAACCGAAAAACCATATAGAAAGAGAGGGAAACTTGCAAAGGTTCCTCAATAATGATAATATATTATAAAGGTAATGGGTTTTAGTTGAGGTTTTGCTTGGGTACTTAGTGATATGTAACCTTGTATATAAGCTAAAGGAGGGGAAGACTTTTTTCTTCCCACAAATTGGAAGCAACTTTCAAGTTGGGACAAAAAATGACTGCTGGGGTTCCTACAACTTTTGTAGGTCACATGCATCGAATCCTTATCGCATAAACACCTTCAACACATTCCACTTATCAGATAGCCAAAACAATTCACCATACATGTCCAAGTTGAGACATGGAATTGAGGGTTTTAACGCCAAGTTACAGGGTGGTACAACCTCGTTTTGCTAACTATTATATGATGATAACAGTATCGTGGAATGTATTTGCTAACTATTATATGATTATAAATGTAAGGACTACATGTGTTTGTTATCTACACCGCTTACCATGTCTTAAAGTACCTTAATGTGAAGAGTATGGAATATGTAAATACACACCATATACATTGTACATACGACATGTAAATGACATAAATGCTATATCATGGTGCACAAGTCATGCAAAGGATATGCACACGTCATGCATATGTCATGCATAGGTAATGCACATGTCATGCACACGCAATGCACATGACATGCACATAAAATATACATTATATGCACATGCTATGCAT